TAGTATCTGATTGGGTGGGCCACTTGGCCCAAGTACAGACTTCGCCCACCTTTCAGAAATTAGATGAACTGGTAGCAAAAATGGACATGAAAATGTTTGGTGATTGAAATTCACTAATTAAAATGTTATCTGCTCTTACCTCTTGCCTTAGGATTAGAGCTAATTTTTTCTGACTTTGATGATCACTGGTGGGACACCAAAAGCACATCTTGTCACACAAACTTTGTAAAAGACAAAATCCTCAGGCCTTTTCAGGATCATCTTGAGTTGAAGATAAATTCCAGTGTTCCTCAACACGAAAGAACTGAAGCTGATGAACTTGTAAATGCTGGCAAAGCTCAAAGTGATCAAGTGGAATTACTACTCTCAGTCAAGATCAGGACAGAAAGTCCCAATACAACTGAAGACAGTGATGTGTTCACAAGTGTAACAAGTGTAACAGACCTTGACAGTGCATTGAGTACCAATATCAGTGAATCTTCTGACCCTGAAATCCCCAGCAGTGATGTGACTGCCTATACATGCTCTGGAACAAAAAATGAAACAGAACTTTCTATCTTAAGCTCCACAACCGTGGTTCCTGATGTAGATGAGCATGCTGTACATACAGATTCTTGTCTGTCTGCTATCTCATCAAGTCATTGTAGCATCAATAACTTTGAACTGTCAATCCTTCTTCTTGCGACGCTGGAAAACCTAACCTGTCATGGCAGTGTATCGCTCAGCGATTGCAATCTTCTAATGCATACCAGTGGTCAGCTCATAGACATTGTTCTCTCCCTCAGTGACGCTAAAAACAAGAGTCCTGAGGTTTTTTGTGAGTGGGAACTTGGAGCAGCTACTTCAGTTCACTTATCTACATTAAGAACAGTATTCTCAATTCTCTGCACAACATGTCGAAACCCAAAGGCAGCCAAACAACTGTCAAAGACCTCATATGTTCAGAAACTTTTGGAGGTGATCGAAGATGGTTGTCTGGACAAAGAATTCCTAACAGCCATTCAACACTTTGAACTTGCTAAACGTGTTGCTGGTATTAGTGACAAAGAAAATGAACTTAACCCCAAACTTCTTGCTTCAGATCTTTGGAGTGGTTTTCAAAATGAGCTGCTGCTTGGTTGCTCTTTGCATGGTCTCCTACTCTTTGTAATGACATGCATTCATTATGGTACCTTAGTCAATTCCACTCTTTACGTTCTGTGCCATGATATTTTTGAGCAATTTTCGTCCAGTAGAGGATTTGAATTCCTTGTTACCTTGCTCCTGAAACTGGATGAAGTTTACTCACACGAGATAGATTTCGAGAGAAAGGGAAATGACATGGACTTTCGGTTAAAATCTTTTTCTCAAAGAATTGAACAGTACCCAAGAAGTCTCTCAAATCGGGTTGTGAAGAATTTAGGAAAAATGATTTCGATGTTGAAAAAAAGCAAGACTTGCTGCAGAAGAGAAGCTGGCAGTAGAAAGACTTCAGTGGTCTTGTCTGGGAACCTTGTCACACAGAATGATGTTCATGAAATGTGTGGAGTGTACCTTCCGACTTCTGAGATAGAGGAGAGTTCAGAGTCAGCAGCAGATATGGAGTATGAAAAAGAGAGGCAAGACCAATTGCCAGGTATGAAATAAGAGTTAACGGGGGCAGATCCAGGGATGTGGGGGTGTTTCTTCCCCCCCCCCCCC